AAGCAAGCGAGCCCTCGGGAAGGGGGGGGACTTTTCAACCTCCTATGAGGGTCCCCCTGTGGCCCTGTGCGCAGATGCCCCCGGACACCGGCCCCGGGGCCTTCCCCGACTGCACCACACCTCCACCACCGGGACTTGCCCTGGCCACCTCTTTCCTCTGCTTTTCCTCAGGAAGACCGGCCGCTGCTTCCGTCTTAGGTCCTTCTCGGTGGCTTTGACCCTCGCTGGGTGGGCTGAGCATCCTTGGTCTGAAACCCAGCAGAAACGGATCTTTTCTTCTCTTTCAGTTACTATTTTTCCTTCCCTGAGCTATCGATCTCCCTTTCCACCGGGCTTTTCCCCCAATGTCTGCCAGAGCCCCGCCTGGTCCTGTTCCAGCCGCTTCAGGCAGAGGGGCTCCCCCCCACCGCCCCCACACCTGGCGGCGGGGCTGGAGTCGGCACCAGCCGGGGAACACGACTTTCAACCCAGAGCAGGAAAACTTGGGCAGGGGTTGTATTTGCGGTGGTCTGGGGGTGAGTAGAAGGGGCAGGACCTGCTCCTGGCCTCCAGAAACTGTTGGTGGCTCATGCAGATATGACTTCAGCTTGCTCAGCAGCTGGCAGCCATCTCCGCCCCTGGGCCCCTTCCACAGGTCCTCCTTCCAGGAGTCTCACACACCCCACACGCTCCGCTGCGGCGCCTTCTCGGGGGCCTCGCCCGCTGCTCCGCTCAAGCTGCAGGCCCTTTTCTTCGGCCTCACCTGCTGGACCACTTCTGCCCTCCCACCCGCAGCCTCTCCAAAGTCCAGGCGCTGCCCAACCGTCCCCGGCTTTGGCTTCTTCGACTCCCCCGGCCTCTTCCTGGCCCTGGTAACCCCTTGTCTGCACCTGCTCCAGCTGTTCCAGCTGCAGCAGACCCAACTGGGGCGGTCTTCCTTCTGGCTTCCGGCTCCACAGCTCAGGGATGATCCTTCCAGCTCGCCTGATAAAAAGCCTCAGCCTGTCACTCCAGCCAGTCCTCCACCGCAGATACGCCTCCCCCCGTATCGTCTTCCGGCCCTCCTTGCAGCCCCAGCCTGCCGGTCAGTAAATCCTTGCTCTGCGTGCTCCAGCTTCAAGAGCAGGTGGGGTCATTCCAAAGGAACAGAGACGGGGGTTGCTGCAGGATCAGCCCCTTCCCTTTCCCGAGCTGGGGACACTGAGATGTTGGGAAGGACACTGAGGAGGCAAAGAGGATGAGGACACCGTTCTAGCTGCAAGCCACAATAAATGGGGGTTGGCAACAGAGACGGCAAAACCTATGCTGGTTTAGTTTTCTGCTGGCTTCCCTAGATGAGAAATGACATTAACTGAGTTACGGAGAAGAGTTGATAAAACGCTGCTCTAGAAACCGGGACGGGAGGACGTCATTCTCCTCATATTCCCAGCCAACTCAGGATCAGCAATAAAACATGAAGAGTCTGCCAGGTGGCGGGGAGACTAGTTGGGTGCTTAGCTCTGAGTAAAATTCATTGAATTCAGTGGGCTTTACTACAGAACAGGCACCCGTTGGATGGTACTCCGAACTGTAAGTTTTGTTCTAGAGACCGGCTGGCAGTTTTCCTAAAATCCTAAAGAAGCCCAGAGTCCTTCTGGATTTGCTTCTTCTTTCCAGGCTAAATAAATGCTGGACATTTGGGGGGTGATGTTGAGAAATAAAAATTTTAACAGCTCTAATTAATAAAAATTAAAGCAAAACCAGAGTGAATATAATGGTAAAATCAAGCTACAGCAACCACGCTGCCATATTGCTATGGCTCGCTGGTAACCTGGAATATTATGATCCAAAAGACAAGAACAAGCGAACGTTGAGAAAGCATCCAGGGAGCCTTGGCGCAGGGACACCCCGCGGGAAGGGTCGAAAAATTCGCACTCGCGTAAAAGAAGGGGCCGGGCCGTGATTGCACCATCGCAACTGCCATCTTGACTCTTTTGACTGCCCCCTCTTCCTGCGGATACCCCTCCTTGGACAGTGGATCAAATGCTTCTGGGGTCTGACGTCTCTCCCTTTCCTTCCCAGATCTCAGCCTTGTGCTAGGATTTCTGAAATGGAATTTTCCCATTTGGTAGGAAAATGACAAGCGTTTTACCGTGATTTAAGTTGCCCCACAGAACACATACTCTTTTATTCAGCCCCTCAGACTGGTAAATACATTGCTTGCGATTCATCAATCCTGCAAAATTTATTGTTGTCCATTAGAATTTCAGTTTTTATGAGAATATAACTGTCCACAGTAAGTTTGGTACTGGGCATGGAGAAAGGCTCTAAAATATGAACAATCCATAAAAATTATGAACAAGTGGAGAACTCTGCTCCAGCCTATAAATAAAAGCTTGGAAGTCGCTGATTAATCTAAATTCGGTCAACATCAGGGCTTCATTCATTCAGAGACGCACTTTTGCACACAGCGCTCTGACTTCTCCTAAGATGTGTTTTTAAACAAAGCAACTACTCCTCACACACACTTTTAAAAAATTAATCCACTTCTTTTTTAGTATTCATGCCATGACAGAACCCTTTCTAGCGAATTGTCCCAACACTTCTTCTAAACCCGTGATTTGGAGGGGGGAGGCTTAGGCGATCAGCAGAATTAACAACCCGTGACCAAGATCAAGCCCTTCCCTTTCACAAGCTGGTGGCACTGAGATGGTTGGGAAGGACACTGAGGAGGTCCACCAACTGCCTCAACTGACCGCCATGGCTGAGATCCAGAATGGACCACAGCAGTGGCCTCATTCCATGGAACAGTTTTGTCCCCTGGTAGCACAGATGGACAACCCATGATCTTGAAGGCTCAGATGGGATTCCTAAAGCCCTGACAAATTGTAATTTTTAATAAGTTACAAAGGGGAAATTGTTAAAAGCCTGGGGAGTAATCATATTACCTGCTTGATGGATAACATTTTAATTAAATGGACACTAAATCAATAGCTCAGCTTTGGCTTGATTCTACCCATATTTGAGTGCAGGTTGCACCCAGTCTTGGAAGCTATGCAGCCCCATATCTTGCTCAAAGGCAGCCTATTCTCAGTATGAAAAAGGTTATATGCCCTTGTGCTCAAGGAGACACAATGAAGTATACAAATAAAATACTTCTCGAGCTGCTAGTAATGTGCAGACCCCCGCAGCCCTGCTTAATCCATGCTCAGAACCGAACCTCTAGACTCTAGAAAGGTGGAAGGAGAAGGAGAAGGAAAGGCTCAGCCAAGCTCTTGTTATGTTCTTCTGAATGCCATTAAAGGTCCAGCCCAGGATCCATGGGTGGAATAAAGTGATCAGTTGTAGAAATGATTTAGTGCAAGGCTGGCCAATGAATTCCAGGTGTTGGAGGCTCAACAGAACTCCAGGACAACAGACTGGGAAGGGTGCGAATGCTGGAAGAACTTCTGGACATAGGCTACTCACTGAAATGACTTTCTTCTCCTATTGGGTAAACAAGGTTAAGGACATATGGACAGATGTTGGCACCCGCAGGGGTGAAAGGGGGGCACATGATGAAACGTGAGTGATGATGTCATCATGCAGATGTTGCGTCCTACATATTTACACATAAAGCTTTTTCAACTGAACTTTAGTAATATGTAGTTGGGCAAAGCTTTAATCTGGATTTTGAACATTTAAAATAATAATTTTATTATTACTTTATTTTCCTGAAGGACTTGTTGTTTTAATATGCTTGAGTTTGGCCCATTCCCAAGAGACTTTGGCTGAGGGTTGTCTAGAAAAAGAGCAAATAAATAAAATAACAAATAATAAAGTAAGTAGGAAGTAGCCTAACAGGACTGTCTGTTTTGTACAGGACTGATCTTTCCCTCTTCTCTTTCTGCAAGGCAACTGAAAATTCAACCCCTTTCTTTACAGGCATATCTTAAAATCTACATTAAACCATTTTCTCAGATTGCAAAATATGTTAACTGTAAGCTGTCCAATCAGCTTAGCACCAGGGTGTTCACCTGTGTGTGTGTCAAAAAGTCAAGATGCTAGCTGTGATTGTGCATTTGAAACCCTGCCCCCTTTTACATGCATTGCATTACGACTCACACTAAAAAGGGCAGAGCTTCAATTTCATGGTCACAACCATCATCTTGACTTTTTTGACCTCCCTCCTTGCAGATGCCTCTACTTAGCATGTTATGCAAATGCAGCAACGGGTTCTTTATCTGATGCTGTTAAGATAGTTGTGTGAAAAGCTGACCCCAGTTAGGTCAGATCAGTGTTTCTCAACCTTGTCAACTTTAAGACGGGCTGGGGAATTCTGGGAGTTGAAGTCCACCCGTCTTAAAGTTGCCAAGGTTGAGAAACCCTGGTTTAGATAATCAGAGGCCTCGTCTGAACATGGCAGTTCCATTTCTTGCTTTTCTGGCATGTTTCTGGCCGGCGCAACAGCCTCTCGTGATCTCTGGCCGTGCCAAAGAGCTCGGCTGCCGTTGGCCCGCCTTCCGTCCTGCCCTGCAAGAGAATCCAGTTGCTTTCTGCTCAACCGTGCAAGCTGGTTGCGGATATTCCAGCCCTGTGTCCTTCCGTGCCAGCTGAGAAGAGAGGCTGGAGCAAAAAGAGCAATGTTTATTTTTGCATTTAAGTAGGGTCATGGCATGAAGCTGAATTATCACCTCTCTTCTCTCTGGTGAGAAGTGGCACTCACTTAGCAGGGTCAGGCTTTTTACGTTTCCTCAGCCAGATGCCGAAGGGGGAGACTTTGCAGAGGGAGAAACGCTTCTCTTACGTTCTTCCCTAGCCTTGAATTCTCTTCCATGTTTTGAAACTGGGGGCAGAGGGGGGCTGGTTTTGCTTGAAATGCCTGAATATTAATATTTTTGTTATGCACATTGCTCACAGCAGAATGGCTTCGGAATTTGTCAGGTCTAAGTTAAGTCCCAGCAACATCAACGAGCCCATCTTGAATGGGACAGGTTTGACCTGGATTGTACCGTATGGAGTGCCATACGGCGGTAACAGCAGGCCGAGAAGATATGGGTGAAGGAAACCCAACGACGGCTCTACAATTTGCAAATGACATCTAATTCGCCAGCATATCGTCACCTCCTGCGCACAGCCCCATAAAAGGAGCAGGGGCTGGAAATTTCAACAGGACAAGAGATGACAGGGAATTTCTGGTGGATTTTGCCCCCAGAGCTCAGATCTTTTCTCTCCCATTCTCAAGCAGCACCCTTAACCACAAGACCCATCATCCACCACAGCTCAGGGAAGACCTCTTCAGATTGGCACAGTCCTGGCAGACCCACTCAGTTCTACATGTCCATTGAGGGACTAAAGGCTATTTGAGCTGGGGTACTCAAGGCATGGGAATACACCCATGGATGGATGGGTGGATGGATGGACGGACAGACGGATGAACGAACTAGGAAACAAGCTGGCACAAACTAGGTGTCTTAGGGAGTAAAATATCAGATGGGGTTGGCAAGACCTGGGTTCAAGTCCACCATCTACACTTGACCCCAAAACTGTTTCATGGCCTTGGAGCTGCTGTCTTGGATCTTAGCTCAGCCCAGATCACTGAATCACTGAATCGCTTACTGTAAGGCAGGCCAGATCATGGGCTGATGACACTGTACCCCTGTCTGTTGTAGCAATTACTACCCTGGGTAATTGCTGCTCTCCCCTGCTGAGCCAGATTTTTGCTTTTACTGTTTTGCTGCAGATTGAACCTGAGACCTTCTTCGTGCAAAGTTCTATCATCAGCTCAAAACAGCACCAAATCCTCCCCCTTGATCTGAAAAGCTAAGCAGGGTCAGCCCTGGCCTAAATTGGGATGGGAGAACCCCAGGAGACCCCAAGTCTGCAGGCTAGACTGAGAAATTGAAATGAAAACCCATCACTTCCATTGCCAAGAGAAATACACGGCCATGGCCATCACATCACCAGGAGCCCAGCTTGGCTGAACCGGTCTAGAAAGTAGCCACGGGGAGAGGTGCGTAGTGCGAAATACCAACGTCATGAGGGCTAGAAAAGTTTCCAAGCAAAGGTGTGGAAAGGGGCCGACCTGCGAGGAAGGAAACAAGAGGGGAAGACCCTTGAGAAGAGATTTCAAGGCCCAAATCCTTCCCCCTCTTAACTGAATGGAGGGGGTAGGATGGCGAAGGGGAACCCAGAGTGAAATTCTGAATTTGACTCTGGAATTGAAAGTTGACTTCAGCTTTTGAGGTGTCTCAGCTTTAGCTTGTGGGCAATTTCTTGATGGTTTGATCCTTTTTTTAAAAAAATGAAGCCTTAAATATCAAATGCTCTGAGCTGCCAAGGATAAAATATCTCAGTGTTTCAACTAGTCAGTCCTGATGAATTATACACCACTTCATAGTGACAGAAACTTATTGCATGTCAGATATTGTCAAATATTGAATTGCACTACCAGCAATCAATTAAAGTCAAATGCTAAATATTGTACCATGTCAGCCAGAAAATACTGTCACTAAAGGCATTTATGTCAGATGTCAATTAATACCATCAAATGCCAACTGTCAAATATGGTTAAATATCCAGGGTTGAAACATATATCACGGCATGATAGTTACTGGTGTTAAATATTAAGTACTCATAAGATATTTGACATCCACACGAACAGAGCACAATTTTCTAAGGAAATGGGGCAAGGGGCAGCCCCAGCTCTCGATATAAAAATGGAATTAAGCCTCCGTCTTCGACGATATGGAACTGCTCAGTAGCAAAAGGCCTCGTTCAACGAGTGTTTAAAGACCATGTAAATGCCAACAGGGCAACACAGAGGGCAGTTCAGCAGCCTTAATTCTGCCTGGTATCATTAAGGAAGCCAATGAAGCAAAATTATCTCCGTGAAAATTGCAGGGAGAATCCCACGAAAAGGAAATATCCTGGCAACGGCAGCCAAGGGGACATTAGACTCTACTGAGGCTTTAAGGAATTAACGCAGCCTTTCTCGTCTTCTCCAGATGTGCTGAGACAATCACTCCCAGGGGACCTGGTTCACAGAGGGGTCTGCAGGGAAGGTCAAAAAAGTCAAGATGGCAGCCACGAGGCATGTGAAAAAGAGGGCAGGCCTTTGATGGTGCAGTTCAGGCCGACATCTTGCCATCCTATCCCCCAACACCCCTGATCTATTCATCGACTGTTAAGCTTTAGGAAAATACAATAAACAGAACTAATTTAGAGGACCTAGAGGATCTTCACATTGCCACCTTTTCTTTCTTTTTACGACTTACCTGTGGGTTGTTTTTCTGATTTTTCTTTTAGTGGTTTAAATCACCTCGTGATTGCTAGCTTGGTGGTCAAATGGTTCTGGGGGCACTTGATCGGCATTATGACGGCAGCCCCCGGAGAATCTGTTGACGGCGGTCAGTTGAGAACGGAAGATAGAAACGCCTAAGTGACGGCCGGAAGCCACGTCGGTGGATTTTTGCCTCCAAACCCCTCCAGGATCCCTGGGTGCTGCTGGCCAGGCTGTGGCCTCTGCTTCTCCCCACAGCAGTTTTTATCAGCAGAGGCAAACAAGGCATGAGAAAAGGAGGTGGAGCCCGAGAGCCCTCTCCTAACGTCAGCCCTACGAGGTAGTCCAGACAGGAAGCACGCCCAGAAGAACTACCTCTACTTCATTGTCAGGTTACCTGAGCAGAATCTTGCAAGTCTGAAAGCATCTCTCTCTCCTCCATTGCCTTTACAGTCAAGAAACTAGGGAGGGTCCCTTCTGAGACATTTGCCAGGCCCACTGTCCTGCCGTGGGCTAAGCTGCCTCTTATCCGTCCGTCCCCCCCGGCCGCAGCTCTTCCCCCTGTCCCCCAAGGTTGTTCCCCCACCCATTACTCCTGCTTCCCAAGGAGCTTTTCAACGCTTTACCTTTCCAAAGCTCTCTGCCCAGCAAGAGACTTCTCCACAGACAGAAGACGTGTCTGGACGGCCCTTGCTGTCCCACGGAGGACGAAGCTGCGCCTGGAGAGCAGAGACAAGTCCGTGAGTCGCAGGCAAGGTCAGGACATCGGCATCTGGTCCAGCAAGGTGAGCGGCTGAAGCTGCCTTTGATGCGGCCGCTTGGCAGCTGAGCTCCCTCGCTCCTGCTTGGGAGAAGGGTTGACTCATAAGGAGCTCGACTCACAAGGAGTCCGTTATCCCTGAAGACGTCTCTTTCTGGGACTGAACGTGCACCTTCGATTGTCCTCGGCCCCCAGGCAGATTTTATAAGGCTAAGAGGTGGACCTGGCGAGTACTTGGATGGGAAGCCACGCAGAGACCCTACCCTAGGCCCCAAAGAGGGATCCCAGAAGGCAACGACAGGGCAATAGTGCCAGAAAAGTAGCATGGAAGTGCCCCTGGACACGTTCCTTCTCCTGCCTGTGTGCCCTACTCTGGGGCAAGAGCATAGCTGGAGACTTGATGTCCGGGGGGGGGGTCCCAACCCTCTCTTTGGTCTTAAAGCCCCCAAGGTCACCCCCAGGAGAAGCTGAACATATCCTGTCAACACACTGATAGACAGGCTGAACCTTGGCAGCTAGGAGAGAGAGGGGAGGGCCACCCCACCCCCGGCCTTTGCACCGCACCGATCCAGCATCACGGTCACGTTGCTGCGTTTCCACCACATGGCTCTCCTTGGGCAGCCAGTGTGATTTTCTTCACAAAGTCAAAGCATCCATGTTGCCCCTTGTGAAGTGGGACCTCAGCAGGCCTCAAGGGCAGGTCATTTTCCCCGTTTATGGGAATTCCTGCCTCAGTCCACCTCGGGCATGCCCTCGGGGTGTGGTCATAAAAGTCAAGATGGCAGCCGCAATGGTGCGACCAAAGCTTTGGGATGCACATTAAAATGGACAGAGCTTTGATTGCACCATTGTGGCTGCCATCTTGACTTTTTGGCCATGCCCTGAGGACACCCCTGCTCCGCCTCCTTGTGCCTGAACGCAGGACTTTCAGATAGTCTCATCAACGCATTCAGCCTTCATCCATCCAGTCCAGTGTGTCTCAATCTCATCAATTTTAAGACGTGTGGACTTCAACTCCCAGAATCCCCCAGCCAGCATGATTTCCCTGCTTATAAAAGCAATATCCCCCCAATTCGTGTCTCACTCTGCCTCCCAGCCTCTGGA